TGTCAACATTATCCAACATTTAATCCTTTTAATGATGCGTCGAATGGATTACTAATGATCATTACCCTAATAGCTTTACTAATGTAATGACACTATATGGCTAGAGATGAGTGTAGTTGGAGTGAAGACTGCAATCGTGTGGTTAGTTTATTTTGCCTGTCTTCATAATGAATAGTCAAAAATCAACATAGTGTTTTAAGTGTCCTACACTGATATATTGAGAGGTGTACCATATTGATTGAAAAGGTCATTCAAACTACTAAAGAAATAATATAGTTGAAAGAGTCCAATGGAAAAATATGTATTGTGATTGGTTACAAGCTACACGCATTACGCAACCCTTAGACATTCTGATGAGAAATATGTTTCCATTTTGGTTTAAATATACATACTATACCAATAGTAGACCAAATTTGTGGCATACATTGATTAAAGAAATAAAGTCTCTACGTATTTTTAAAATAAACTGGACTAGATTTAATGGGGAAGCTAGAAATATTTTATGCGTATTCTATTACCAGTATTAAGTGTAAAATAATTAGGAAAGTATTACAGGACAACTATTATATATTTTTCAATTTATATTTCATAATGGTACTGCCAACATAAAAAATGTTATACTTTTAAATAATTTGTTTTTTATGTTGTATTTGGAGAAGAAATAGGGTATATTTAAAGGTTATTTCATTTTTATCCACACCTTGCATACGATATTTCCAGACATCTTTTACGAAATTGTATTTCTAGTTGGGGCAAAATCTAAAAAATTCTAGGATATTCTGCAACATTTTAAGGTTAGAAAGGAGGTTTAAGTTAGAACTTGTGTAAACTTTGCAATTTGAAAGTGGCGTGTAGTAACACCAGAAATCATGCTTGGGTACAATGCAAGGGAGCGCAAAATTAGTGTTTATGGTCGGTAAACGCCAACGCTTTACATTCTGTACGGCAACTGTGGCGCAAACTGTCGTTACCGCAGACACATGTGTGTGTGTTCCAAACCAAAAAGTGCATAAAGCTAATATAGTCTACGCAATGATATGGCATGAATTATACAAAAATACAAACACTGACCATACTGTTGTCATAGATTTATTTTACGTGTTTTGAAATAACGACCTTAATCTGATAACTAGTCAGTTTTTTTGTGGATGTTCCAATTGTTGAATTTAAAGCCGAATCGAATAGTTTGGATAAAACAAAAGTGGGATTTTTTTGCCATAGACTAAAGAAAGTGTTACAGTTTGTTGTTCAGTTTTAATCAGTCTAATGGCGATAACACTATACTACTTGGGAATTCACTCTGGTAAAACTCAATTGACAGCCAGTCATTATGGATCAATAAGATTTGCGTACATCTTAAAATTTGTTATTTCATAGCTAGGCCCAAAGTTATGAAGTTACATAGAAATATATAACAAAACCAATTTAAAAATAAAAACAACAAATAAAAATAAAAAGAAACAAACAGTATATCGTGCAAATTATAAAAGCCTTTGCTAAAGAAGGTTTCACAATACAAATCAGTTTCTGACACTCCACCCACACTAAACCGAATACAATGATAATATGCTAGTTATGTTTTACAATATTTGGTTTAAGATTGAGCTCACCAATAAATGTACTGGTACCTCCCGTGAACAATCTTCCCACACAATTCATCTTTAAATTATCTATTCTGCACACTTCAGATTGATTGAGAATTTGCAGATTCAGAAAGATGCGTGATATTTATACTTAAATGTTACTTTGACAAATCGCGAATTAGTTTTGTTGAGGCATTTACTGAGTCCAGATGAGAAACGTAATTTTAAACGCAATAAAACACTGTGTTGTCACTGTTAATGGCTCTTATTTCACAATTTATGTAACGGTGGGTGGCCATTTGTTTACAACTAGTAGTATTTATGTGAGTAACAAAGTAAAATAAGTTATTTACAACAAGAACAGGTCTTACAATGACATTATTGTAATGATAAAAATATTTTCAATTGCGCATTGTAAAATTGCATTTATTATAAATTGTTTTATTGATAGATTATAATTTGAAGACCTGTATACAATTAGCAGTAGTTAATTAATAAGAATTATTTTTTTTTTATTACTTGATACAATATTTTAAGATGAAGTTGATGGGTGAAAAATCAAAGTTTAAGGTTTTAAAACGCAATTATTCACATATAACATAAATTTCTTCTCACAAAATATGAAAATGAACAAAATTACATAGATACATAAATTGTTTGCACTCATCACATATGGTGCAAGGAAAATCAGCAACGCCATTTACTAATCTTTGTTGAGGAGAACATAGCATAGGCGTAATCGTAAACACCATGTATTCCATCGAACGTGACAAACCAACAACCAGCTGTTTGTAGTCATCAAAGTAAGTTTCTATACCCAAACCTCATTCATCCTATTAAGAGGGATGAAAGGATCTGTAAAAGATTATCTTGCAAACTTACAACATTTTGATCACATCCCCGCTCCACCAAACACCCTAACTGTTGAATTCATTGAAATTGAAAAACTTTCCTAATCTTACAACGTAAGGGATTTCCGGTTTCTCATACATACAGTCTCTATATTGTTTTCTTTATATTTTTATTCCTTCACTATCCATTTTTTTTTATTTATTAAAATAATTAATTGTAATTTGGAAAGTATATCTAGCTTAGACATTAAAACCAAACTATAAAATCCCTTTCACTAACATGATTGATAAAATACTGTTTCATTAATATAAGCTAATAGTTAATTTGAACAGTTAAACATGCATTAGAGGTTTTAATCACTATGCAAAGTGTGTTTGGTAAGCTCACCCCACTACAAACAAACCCGAAAAACTCATAGTCAAAATAACTTATTGTGTTATTTAAAACTAAAAATTCCCCTCTCATGCTGGGATTTTCCCCTAATGTACGAGATTGAAGTAAGTCACAATATTGACCAATAGACCTAACAGTTTTCATAATTAGAGGCTACTATTCCTTTTTACTTAAATATAGCTAAAAAGTTTGTGAAAAATTTCAGCCATTCACAAGGCCAACATTTTTATTTTTAATTTGCTTTCAAACATATTCACATATAAACGCTCAATATTCACTTGTTGTAATAATATATGGACTTGAAATATGAGGGCTGAATAAAATTTAAAACTCAGAAATTGTCAAATATTCCGAGTGTTTTTAAACACTTTAACACCTAAAAAAGGACAAAAAGAAAATATTTCTCTCTGTCCACTACTATCGTGGCGAAAATGTACCTACAATGTACAATGGCTTAGTAGAGACAGTTTTGCCCAAAATTGAATATTTTTTTATCGTATGAATAAAAAAAACAATTGTACATACACTTGCTATAATAAAAAATTTCTTCAAATTGCTTAAAGGACAATTATTTTCAATTACAAAATTGCAAGTAAAAGTAGGATATATTATATTATATTAAGATATATTACATAAAACACGTTTGATGGATGTAAGCAAAAACATCACGAGCATTTCACAGCCCACAGGCAGCTTTCTATATTCCAACAATTCTTTCAAGTTTTTGTTGGATTTCATATGGGATATTAATGTATGGCAATACATCTTTTATCTTAAGCAACAATATTGAAATAAACCTAATGAATGTAACATACAGGTAATGTACGGACCATAATGTTTAAGGCAACGAAGTAACTTTACCAGGGTGTACACACAACTATTCCATCAACGGGTCAAGTAGAAATATCTCTGTATTTACTATGGGTTTACCTGACGGGCTTACTGTAATATTGTCTATTAACTTCAATTGAGTTGCAACTTGCTGTGTGATAATCCTTATTTGTTTTCATATTAATACATTTTATATTATATACATAGTAGATATCTTTTTAGTCGAACATGTATTGTCGTAATCGCATACACCAAATTGCATGCAACATTGTCATATAGTGATTTAATTATTAATCCTGACAAGTGATAGATTTAAATATTAATGTAGCCTCCAGGAACTACCCAACGACTCTGTTACATTAGATAATATACAAATGCACTGAATGGCCAAGAAATTTCAAGTAAACTACTGGAAGATTAATAGTTAGACATATTGATATCTATCGATGATGGACACAAACTACAGTTAATGAAGAAATGCATCAATACCAAATTAAACAGCCAAATTAATTAAATAGTAAAATTTAAAACTAGATGGAATTTATTTTGGAAGGATATTTTGCATGACAAGTATTTTTAACTTAGTTTTCTTAAATGATGGTGCAATATCACGAACAATACGGTCAACGCAAAAAGTGTTTTTTATCACCCACTTTTTTCTGAGCAAACCTCAAGTTAAACTTGAGCTCCTGTGAAAAAGAGTCACTTTACGTCCTAATGATGAAAGATACTACTAAACTATTACCTTTGCCTGTAGCAACGGCAACCCCTAAAATCACACATAATTTTTAACATGTGCGAAAGTATTTTCATTGCAAACACTTTACAAAAAAAAAATCATGTATTTTATGGAAAAACTTATTATATATGTAGATATCTCACATTAAATCTATGAATTAGTCATTTAGTTAAATTTGCAGTTATGTGACATAAATGGCTAAATGTACAGTTCCTTGGTTTCATTATTTAAATAAAACTACTATATATAGTAGTGGAGGGTATTTATTTTATCCGAACACCTTAAAATACTAATATCCAATTCTTCGTGGGTCAACCTTACCTACGATAAAAAAAAATGTACGGTACCTAAAGAATTTTATTTGGATAACAAATTTTCATATTTAGACATAAATGTTAATTTTACAAAGGTCACATTTCCCATGACAATTTTTGTTGGTAAAGTTAAATACAAGGGGTTCACTTTAACTATAAAGTGGATTTTGAGGAGACATTTGGACGTTGGATGTTCGGACAGTTCCGTAATCACTCGGCTTTCTCCGCCGCCACCGTGGATTGTCAGGAGCGCAATATTCCTCAGTTGTCGTGCCGGCGTCGCGACGATCACGTGCAGTTTGTTCCACAACGATGTTCTTAACATAGCATAAACATTAGTCAAATAAATATAGACCCATAAAGTTAAACAAACTAAATGATAACAGTTTTTAATCAAAATGACTGTTTCACGCACTAGCCGTCGAATCAGAAAGTGACAAGCTAGGGATGTAGTGAGTGATAATCACACCTTAATCGTTTCGGATTTTATACAACTATATATGTGTTGTGATGTGTAATTAGTGAGCTATGGTGGTATAATGTAAGCCATGGTGATAGAATGGTTGCTGCTACTGTCTTTCTTAATGTTCCCGCTGTTAGCAAACCCTGCAAGTAAGGAGAAACGTAAGTTTTGTAATTGTTAGTTTGGCACTTTTTATAGATATAGACACAGTTATAAGTACAGCAAAGGTAAAAGTTTGATATAGGTGTATGTATTGTATTATTTTGAAATTACGTCGATAGATTTTTCGATTGGAAGTAATTGTTGCAATATGACACATATTTAAAATATTTTATTATTAATTTCAGCTTACGCTTGCATTCAAAGCTTAACGGTTTCTTAGGTCACTGTTAAAATGTATTTTCCTATAGTTACCTAACAATGTACATGTTCTCTCACTGATTTGAGAAAGCAAAGTGGCCAATTCGCCTACGGCTCGTGAGTAAGGATTTCTCTCGAGTGAGTCAATTGCTCACTTTTCTCACTAGTTGCACAAATAACTATTACATTTGTTTATACATTTCTTGTAATATTTGTGAAATTAGACATTCCCATACGTAAAACAAGTTTATTAATTAGTTTATATAATAAAATATTGGAGTTGGAAAGTTCTTCAGAAATATTAGTTTTAATAAATATAATCTTAATGTATCGTTTGATTTTCTAATCCATTAAAAAAATAATTCATAAATAAAATATTCTGTGTTGAAACTATTGATGATATAGAATCTATAGAATTTAATTTTATGACTAATTTACTAGATATTATTTTATAATGGCATTGGTAAATTACTATGGTTTATAATGTAAACAGTAAAACTCCATACAAAATGTTTAATTATCACTAGGTAATTCAGTATACAATTTATTTAAATTGCCTGGTCCTAAAACCTTTACTGTTTCGCTTCTTTTTTAAATTAATATTGATAACCTAATAGTAATTATTTTTTGTCAAGGAATCAATAATAATTAAGCAATTCATATTGTTGGATTGTTATTTGTTTCATAGGGTTTAAAATCATAAATTCTAATGCTATTAGGATTCTTGACAAATTAATTATTCTTCTAAGATTTAAATTTAATTTCATTAAATATATTTTTGTAATATCCATGAAAGTTATAGACTTTAAAGTATCTTCTTATAGTTGTTTTAATTCAACAATCATTAAACAAAATTTGAAAGTCATACGTTTAAAGCTTTCCCACACTAAGTTACAGTAATTGAATGATACTAATGGCACAAAATATAATTGCATTATTGTATGAATGTCATTCAGGATTACATCATTCCCTAGCTTGACAACGTGTGTGCTAATTGTGTAATTATCAACACAAAGGAGGTAATCCGTTTCATGTAAATTACAGATGCAATATTTAACAAATAATTTATTGCGCGATGAATTCCAAACGGATTACTCCCTCATAATATTTATTAGAGTCATAATATTTCGTTTCAATGGAGATTTATATAATTATTTCATGAAGGGTATTCCATGAGTATATTATGAAGGGCCGTGGTGTAACTAGTGACATTTTTTAATTGAACTGATTGTTTAAGTAAAACAAATCCAACAGTAGATATAAAAATAGCTAACGACCTCTAGAGAATTAGTGAAATGCTTGAAAAATAAGAATTACTATTTTAGGTTTACCAATTTGTAGCTATCTGAATTACATTCACTGTATTATATCAACAGGGAAGAATGATCAATATATGTATTGCAAGTCGCATAATAGGAAGTTATAGTGGAAAAAGCATTTAAATTATGGCAAGGAACATAATTTTTAGGTCCAGACGAATAACTAATTTTGTTCTAACAAATGATTTTCTAAGAAAGATCTTTTAAGAAAACTAATATAAAATAGGTAATTATTCTCTTGTTAAAATAGTTACAAACTGTATTATGTAATACCAGCAGAGTAACCCGTCCTTCGTACAGGATTGGCGTATGAGTATAAAATGCTTATTGCAGTTATACTCGTGATTTTACGTTTTTAATGGGAGATGAATGGTTAAAGATAATTTGGTTCTTTCTATTTACTTTATTCTATGGCATAGCACATCTACCATAGCCATAATGTTCTACCACTGTACCTAAACAATAGGAAAAAGTAAAATACTCACAGATTTTTGTTGCTGCTTGGTTCAAATTAGCTATTGTCATAAATGCAAAAAAATTATAGTGTTGCACCCTGTTGGTAAACCTTATAACTTTTTAATGCTATTGAATATCATAGAATCAACTTTGTAGTTGATACAACTGACAAAATTATTACATTCATTTTAAATATGAATACTCATAAGATTAATTAACATGGGAAATAATTATGCTAGTGCGTATTATTAAAAATGTCCCCTGCATTTTATGGTTATTTCAGAGGTTATTGAGAACTTTGTAGCTTAAATATTTGTTTTCTACAATCTTTTTTTACACAATTTGAACTGAAGAATTCTGTTCGGAGACTACTCTTTTTTTTCTTTTTTTTTCAATAACGGGACACTTTTAAGACAAACAATTTACATTGCGTGAGCATTAATAACGTTAATAACGTGAGCGTTTATATTATGTTGCTAATGGGGAATTCCTTAAAAGACAACAAATATGTGACATCGAAACATTTTTACAGATTATATTTTCAAAAGTTGCTTGGACTCTAATGCACTGTGGTTGTTCGTATGAATTTAATTTGTTTGTATTAATAATCAAAAGGTTTTGGGGTTGGTATCATGCAAGTAAGCAGTGAAAAATGGGATAAAGCAGAGGATAACAGCTGAAAGACAAGTTACAATGTCGGGTTTTACCTAATCCAATACTAAGGGAGTACGGTTTACAACTGGCCTTTTATCAAATCCTTTTATCTATGGTAACAGGTAGTCTGTAACAAAATTCTCAATTAGCTAGTTGGTACATCAAAATAAAACGTTTACAAATTACTCCGTGTTAGTTTCCCAAAGATCAAGGTATCTTGCGTAGTTTAATGAAGTTATAAAACAGTTATATGTAGTAGAATATTTTTGTAAAAAATTAAACTTTTTAATAATATTAAGTTTTCTTTGGTTTTACCGTACTAGTAATACTGGTGAAAGTACCAAACACATTTAAACTTGTTTCAACTTGCATTACCAATAACCATTAAAGTTGATGAAAGCAGATTAAATTTACTGCTAAACATTTATCAAACCTGAATTTCTCTTTGACAGGTTCTCAGCTTGCGTTGGTGTTGATTTGCTGAGCTGAGCATCTCTTGATTTTCAGTTGACATACTACTTATTGAATTGTTTTATTTTGCAGTCGCTTACTTTTTAGACAAAATATTTTGTCTAAAAAAATGTAATATTATTTATAGAATTGTTCCTAATATGAATAAGGTTAAAGCATTTACTTATTAGAAAAAAATTTAAATTTTTTAATAAACCAAAAATTTCAACAAAAATTTCTTTAATATATCTAGTTGTTAGTTAGTTTTAGTTATAATAATACAGGTAAGTGTTAACAGATAAGTACAAGTTAAGTGGCTGGAAATACTTAAGTTTCACACGACACATGACTACGACCATGACTAGCTGTATAGCTCAATAGCTGAGTAGCTTTATAGCTGAATAGCTGAGTAGCTTTAATGCTGTATAGCTTTATTGCTGAGCAGTTTTATAGCTGAATGACTGAGTAGTTTTATAGATGAGTAGCTTTATAGCTGTATAGATTTATAGCTATATAGATTTATAACTGTAAAGCTTTATAGCTATAACAACTGAGTAGCTGTATAGCTGTTTAGCTGAGTAGAATTACGGTTGGGTAGCTGAGTAGTTTTATAGCTGAGTTTATGGATGAGCCTTATTACTGAGTAGCATTATAGCTAATTAGCTGTATAGCTGAGTAGCGGTATAGCTGAGTAGCTAGATAGCTGAGGAGTTGTATATCTGAGTAGATGAGTAGCTAAATAACTGTATAGATTTATAGTTTTAAAGTTTTATAGCTTAGTATTTTTATGGTTGAGTAGCTGAGTAGCGGTATATCTAAGCAGCTGTACAGCTGAGAAGCTTTGTAGTTAAGTAGCTTAATGTTTTTTAGCTGAATATGAAACAAATCAGAAGGTATTCGGTTTGAATCATCAGCAATGACAAATGCCTATGGTTATTTTGAACTGGGCGCACTTGATCATATGGTTTTTAATAAATAAGCCGGAATAAAGTACCAAGACATCATCTTACTTATTCTTAACTAAGATTCGTCTTAAAAGTAGCAGCCTGGTGTTCGGAATAGACAATAAATAAACTATCTTAAGTCCTTGAATGAATTAATTTTGTTTTTTTTTCCTAAAAATGTTCGGGTTTTTTCTTTTTGCTGCTATTTATTCAGGTAAAGTGTTTTATTAGCCAAATAATGCTATACTATACCTATTACCCATCTATAAGCTTACAACATTTTTCGCCAATACATAAGTTATCTGGTATTGCAAATGTGTATTCAAGGTAAATCATATATGCTTATGGTGTTTTTTTTAAATGCATCTCAAATGATTACAACTCTTAATGATTACAATTAAACCCTTTTTAATGACAAAACCTGCTTATATGATAGTATCCCTTTCTTTTTTACATCATTACAGATTACCTAATATTGATTGTAGCATAGATATCTATGTGATTAAGTATCTATTGTTAGTGTATTGTAAATACAACTCGACATTGTATTTAGATTTTCTACAGATCTGGGCTCTTTAAATGTTCACAATATTAGGATTAGTGAATATTTTTGGATACTGAAACCACTCCTAAACACTTAATTTCAAGCCTGTTTGACATAATACCTATGATCAATGTTCAGCTGTTATTAATTTAGCAATCGTCAAAACGGCGTTTATCCAAAGATAGGATATTACCGTCCAAACGAGTAATTTTACTATTGATTTTAAGCAATACAATTAAACATCGCACATTGCTATAAAATATAGAGCAAGTGTAAATCAGTGTTTTGTGTTGGTGACGTTTGAGTGCAATGACGTCAACTCAATGTTTTACTCTTATGGTGAAGAGTAGATTCTACAATTTGTATACTACACTTTTCTACATTTTACACAATTTAGGGCAGCTGTATTCAGTAGAATTAGTATTATAGCTCAT